AATCTGTTTTAAGGTTATTATTTCCTTCCCCTTATAACTGTTTCTTCTCTCATTAATTTATAAATCTCTTCCTTCACTATTTTGCGTGCAAATCTAATATGGATCTCTTTGGGTAATTTATTCCTGCGGGCGTAGTTCATATGAACTCTGTAAATTTCATCTATTTCCCTACTGATTTCTTCTTTCTCCTTCTGGGTGGCTTCTGCTAATATTCCCGTCATCAAATCTCTTAAGTCTTCTTCTCTATTTTCCGCAATGTTTTGGAACCATAGGTAAAAGGATGCTTTCTCCATTTCTAAATAAGTAATTGAGTCTTCCAATTCTTTATTTAATGCTGTCTGGTTTTGTTCCATATTGCCAATTTTTTTTTCTGCTTGGTCCATTTTTATTTCCATATTTTGGATCCGTTGTTCATTTTTTACAATATTTTGTTGTATTTTCTCAATCTTGTCATCCTTTTTTTAATATTGTCATTTATTTCTCCTACATCTAATTTCAATTCTTCATTGTTCCGTCTCGTTTCCTCGTGGTTGTTCGCTATTGATTCTTGCGTCTTATTCATCCCCTCCTGGATCATGGCTAAGACTGATTGGATGTTTTGTATGTTGAATGTAGTGAAGGCTTTTTCTTTGTCTGAGGATAGCATTGTATTGATTGTTTTTTGTTCTGCTGGTGAGGATATTGTAGTTGTCTTGTTTGATATTAATTTTTTACCTGTCTTGGTTGTTATTGTTGGACCTGTTGTTGTCATCTTTATTTTTTGTTTTACGATTTCCCAAATTTTCATACACTATGATTCTTATAGAGTCGATGTATTTTTATTTCTGTATTAATATTAGTATTAGATTTGTTCAATATGTATGATTGAGGAAAGGAGTCAGTATGTGAGATATCTTATCTGTTTTCTTTTCTGTTGTATAGTCACTAGTTTATGTATTTCTAATAATTTCACTTAAAAATATTGTTATATAAGGGTTAGGTAGGTCAGTTGAGGAGTAGGGAGAAAGTACAATAGTTCAGCAATTCATTACTCTATTCTTATTCCTCTTAACTATAATATTTATATATCAGGTAATAATATTAATAAATCACACTTTTTATTCTGAATAATTAATTATCAATAATTTTGTGTGTAGTCTAAGATCATCAACCAGCTTATTTAAGACTACTTAGAATTACTATAAAAATTACTATATCTAGGCAATATCTATATAATAAATGTATATAATTATAATCAAAACAGTTTCAATTAATCGATATATCTCTATAAACGTCTATCTTTTTTTTTAAAATATACTTTATTAAGTTTTATATTTATACAAGACAAAAATTTCATTTCTGTTAACATTGGATCTGCAGTGTTTTTACATATATACATAAAATGTCTCTGGTGTCACTTAATCAATTTGTTGCTACTTATTTAACATACCTTATACTCCCCCTTTAATTCTGTTGTTCAACCATTCGTACCACCTTTCCCACACAGTATAATACTCTGAGTTCTCATCATTGTTTATTTCATACGTTAATTTATTTATCTCTGCGCAATCCAGAATTTTCCTAATTATAAGTTCTTCTGGTGGCAGGGTTTTCTCTTTCCAGAATTGTGCATACGCCAGTCTAGCAGCTGTGGTTATGTGTATTATCAAATGGATCTTTTTCTTTCCATACCCCTTCTTTACTATTCCCAGGAGAAATATTTCCGGTGTCAATTCTATGTCTTCTCCAATTATTTCTTGTATCCATCTCCAAATTCTATTCCAGTATCTTTTCACTTCAGGGCATGTCGACCACATATGAAAGAAGGTGCCCTGACCATGGCCGCATTTCCAACAGTTGGGGTGCATATTGGGAAACATCTTAGCTAGTCTGGCAGGTGCTAGGTACCACCTGTGGAGCATTTTGTATTGATTCTCCTTATATGTCGCGGCTCTAGTTAATTTATAGTTTTTGTTCCATGCCTCTTCCCATTCATTGAAATTTAAACTATGTCCTATATTTTTTTCCCATACTTTCAGTTGGTTTTTAGATGTCTCTTCAGTTCTGTCCTCATCTAGCAAATAGTTATATAGTTTGGCCCAAACTTTTTTCTCCGGTCCCATCAAAATTTTGTCTAGTCCATTATATCCTAATTCTAAGCCATATTCTTGTCTTTCTGATATCTTGATTTTACTTGTAGGTAAGTCCACCAATCAAGATTTATACCTTGGTCTCTCAGAGTGTCAACTGATTTAAGGTTTCCTCCCCCATCTAATATATCTTTATATCTGCACATTTTCTCCATTCCCCACCTGTTTGGATAGATCAAGGCCTCCATCGTGGAGAGCCATTTGGGAACTTTTGTATACTAACGCTGTCTGATTCCGGTCCATGTTTGAATTAGGGATTCCCTGATTTTATGCCTATGAAAATAAGTTTTCTTTTTTTTTTTTTGTGTCCCACAGGTATGCAATGCCACCCCTTCTGTAAGTCGTGGCCTTCTAAAGTTAGAATTCTCCTGTTATCCAATATGGCCCACTCCCTTATCCATACTAGCTTGGCTGCCCTGTAATACGATTCCCAATCTGGGAGTCCAAAACCTCCCATGTTCCTTTTTCCCTGTGGAATTTTAAGTGAGATCCTCGGTTTTTTCCCATCCCATAAAAAGTCCCTGATGTTTTTATTTAATTCTAAAAAAAATTTTTTTTGTCTAGGGTCACTGGTATGTTTTGATATTGGAATAAAATTTTGGGAAAGATATTCATCTTAATCGCAGCTATCTTGCCTACAAATGATAGTTTAATTTTCTTCCATCTGTCCAAATCTTGTTTCACTTTTCTAATTAGGGGAACATAATTATCTTCCTTTAGGGATGAGCACCTTTTAGTAATCCAAATTCCCAGGTATTTTATTTTTTTGACTACCTGTAATCCCAGCGATTCTTCTATCTCATTTTCCTGGTTTTCAATTACATTCTTAGTTAGTATTTTAGTTTTAGTTTTGTTCAATTTAAAGCCTGCCACCTCTCCATACTTGCCCAATTCCTCTAATACTTTTGGTCTGGATTCTAAAGGATCTTCTAATATTAGGGCCACATCATCCGCAAATGCTTGTGTTTTGTAGATTTCTTTTCTGATCTTTAAACCTTTGATTTCTTCATTTTTTCTGATTTTTCGCAATACGACTTCTAGGGCCAAAATAAATAATAACGGTGATAGGGGGCAGCCTTTTCTTACCCCCTTCCTAATCTGAAACCCTCTTGTCCTGTCACCATTCACTAGAATGCTCGCCCTTTGGTTGTCATAAATAGTTTCTATCATTTTCACAAAATTTAATCCGAATCCCATTATTCTAATTTGGTTAATCATAAACTTCCAATTCAAATTATCGAACACCTTTTGGGTGTCCAAAAAAATTAGGGCCATCTGTTTTCCGGGATGCTCTTCATAATACTCCAGGATGTTTAATACAATTCTCAAATTGTCCTTAATTTGCCTCCCCCGGAGGAATCCGTTTTGATCTTTATGTATCCAAGCGTTTAGTATTTTTTTAAGTCTCTTGGCCATTATACTCATGAATAATTAGTAATCAGTGTTAAGGAGAGATATCGGCCTGTAATTTTGGATTTGTTTTAGGTCGGCACCTTCTTTTGGTAGGAGTGTGACATACGCTTCCCTCCATGTATCTGGAATTTTTGCACTCGTTAGGGCCTCATTAAAAATTTCCATTTTTTTTTTTTTTTTAAATTTGATTTATATGCCGCCCTTCTCCGAAGACTCAGGGCGGCTTACAATGTGCTCAGCAATAGCCTTCATCCTTTTGTATATTTATACAAAGTCAGCTTATTGCCCCCACAAACTGGGTCCTCATTTCACCTACCTTAGAAAGGATGGAAGGCTGAGTCAACCTTGAGCCTTGGCGAGATTCGAACCCTGCAGTAATTGCAGGCAGCTGGTCTTAAGCAGCTTAATAACAGGGTGCCTTAAACCCTTGTACTACCAAGGCTCTACCATTAATTTTGATTGAATTTTTTCTTCCAACTTTTTGTATATTTCCCCTGGGAAACCATCCGGGCCTGGTGCTTTGTTATTTTTGATTTTGGAGAGGGCTGTTTTAAGCTCTTCTAGTGTTATTTTTCCGTTAAGCATTTCCCTCTCTTCCTCCGTTATTTGTAGAAGCTCGGCATTTGCCAGATATTGCTCTAGTTTTCCCTCTGGGGCTTCCTCTTCTTTGTATAAAGCTTCGTAGTATTCCCTTGCTCTCTCTAATTTGTCTTTTTCTTTATTTAAAAGGTTGCCCTTGGCATCTTCTAATATATGGATTTGCCCTTTTTCGTTTTCTTTTTTCAGTTTGTAGGCCAGCCACCTTCCCGACTTGTTGGCATTTTCGAAGTAATATTGTTTTGTTCTTTTTACTTTTAGGGCTAATTCCTCTTGGTCAAAGATGTTCATTTTGTGTCTCCACATCAACCAATTTTGTTTTGCTGCACCGTCTCCAGGATTATCCTGGAGCTTCCTTTCTGCTTCCACTAGATGATTAAGAATATCTTCCAAGGATTTCCTTTTTTCTTTATTTTGGAATGCATTGTAGGATATCACTACCCCTCTTAAATAGGCCTTCATAGCATCTCAGACTATTTCTCGTGGTGTTCCTTGGTTCTCATTTTCTTCAAAGAAGAACTTTACTTCTTCTTTCAGTTTTTCTATGCATTCTTTGTCATTCAATAATTTCACATTGAGCCTCCATCTCTGTTGTTTCTTTCTCTTTGTACTCTTCCAAATTATTTCAAGGGGGTTATGATCTGCCCAAGTATTTGGGCTAATATCTGCCGTCCATATATCTAATCCCACCTTCCTGGTAAACCATGCCATGTCTATTCTAGACCATGACTTTTGCGGGTTGGAATAGAATGTATACTGTCTAGCATCTGGATACAGGGTTCACCATATTCAATTAAATTTAATTCGTCCGCTAAATCAAAAAATGCTCTTGGTAAATTTGTTCTTTTATTTTTGTTGGATTTATTACTTTTATAATCTTTGTCCGGATCTACAATGCCATTGAAGTCGCCTATAATGCAAATTTCGTTGTGTGCCAATTTTCCTAATTGTTCATGGAGTTTTTGGAAGTATTCTCCATTTTTTGTTTGGAGCATAGATGCCCGCTATTAGCATTTTGGAATTACCTCTAGTGACCTCGATCATAAGAGTTCTGCCCTTTGTATCATTGTACTTTAATTCAGCTTCTATTCCTTTTTTACATAAATTACTACCCCCCCTTTTTTTCTCTGCTAGTGAAGTAAATATTTTGCCGTATTTTGTGTATTCTAGACAAGTGCCCTCATCCTTTTTTATATGAACTTCCTGTAGCAGATTATGTCTGCATTTTGTTTCGCTAACTTTGTGAGTGTTGACTTCCTCTTTTTGTAATCATTCAATCCGTTAACGTTTATTGATATTAGTTTTAGGTTATTCATTCCTGATTTCCTTGTCTGGTTCCTAGTTCCTGTTTGTTCTTACGGCTCTTACTGGTCTTGTTTTTTTCCCTTTGGCTTCTTCTTCTTCTATCTTCTTCTCCTCCGCGATTTCTTCTTTACTATTTCGTTTATGTGAAGTTTCTTCTTCTAGGTTAATTGCCTCGATTTCCTCTTTACTGCTCTATTCTTCTTCCGCCCCTCTTAGCTGGTTGAGGAAATCTTGTGCTGAACTCAGGCTATTTTTATTTTCCTCCCCTGCCATGTAATTAACATCCCTTCTGGCAAGAGCCATCTAAAAAGTATGTTCCTTTTATTCAATTGCATGGCTAGGAATCTGTAGTCCTTTCTTACCTCCCTCACTCTTCTTGGCACTTGCTTTAATATGATCACCTCTTTTCCTCTATACGTAATTTGCCCTTCTCGCCATGTTATACAAGATGTCTTTCACTTTCTTTCTCGCAAACCTCACGTGGACCTCCCTGGGGAGCCTGTTTCTCCTCGCATAATTTGTTTGTACCCTATAATCATCGTCCAATTCTCTAATAATTTCTTGCTTACTCTGTTGGAGCACTTCCGCTATCAGTTCAGCCATTTTTTCTCCCAGATCTTCATCTTTGTCTTCTATGACATTTTGGAACCGTAAGTAAAACGAAGCCCTGTACATTTCCAGTTGGATTAATGAATCTTCTAATTCCTTGTTCTGCATCGTCAACGTCTGGTCTACCGTATCTAGTTTTTTCTCATTCTGTTCAATTCTTTGCTCCGCCTTCTGGATCCTTTGCTCATTATTGAATATTGAGACTTGAATTTCATTCATCTTCTTGTCCAGTGCATGTATGTCTGTTTTTAATTCAGAATGGTTATTTGACATTTTCTCCTGCATAGCCATCATCGTTTCTTGTATAAACGTCTATCAAGTTACTCACAGAAAAGGGGAAAAGTAGGAAAAGATAATACTAATCAATATAGTTAATATGCAATATAAGTTCTAATTGTTAGACAATATCAATACCTAAAGTCTATAATTAATTATCTAAAAAAATATGGCACTTATTACTAGTATTGTATCAATCGTTCAATATCTAAGATTATTTATGAATATATATAATTTATAATAATTATTATTTATGTTATTTACTTGATCAAAATTGAGTAAAATCTAAATTTAAATATATAAAGTAAATGAGAGTAACTAATTACATATATTATTAAATATATAATAGTTTATCCACTATATCATGTTTAAACAGTTGGATTTACTTCCGTGATCTTCCTTCTTCAGTCTGTCTTCTATCACTCCAGTTTTAAAAGTTTTAAAGAAATTTGCTTTAAATAAGTCAATCTCTTCCGATTCTTCAGTAGAAAAAAGTCTCTTGTTTGTGTCTTTTTTCAGAGGGATTCAATGTATCCTTCTGGTATCTAGTTACAATGTCTCGTATCTGTGGCTCACCTCGCCGCCATCTCTAATTGTAAAGCGAAAGTTTCTCTTCTTCAAGTCTTTTATCCACCATTCATTAAGGTTTCCACTGTATGCTTTTCTCTCAGTCCGCGGTTTTTTCCTAGGTCTCGCTTCTCTGTTGTCTCTCAGCACGATCACAGTTCTAATTTTACACACTTTCCTCTTCGAAACCAATTTATTTTGTAAGTTTGTAATCCAAACACCTTTTCGCAATGTTTCTTAGCTTTCACTTGCCTCCGCCGCCTGTCAAAATTGTGCTGTCACTGTCGGCTTTGAATTTCCGCTCCAGTATCTCTTCCCTCGCCGCTTGTCTGGCAGTAAAGCCGCTGGTTTTTGGAGTCTCACTATCACCTGCTTCTTTTCGTTTCTTTGTAGTTATACCTTTCTTATTCTTGTTATTTATTTTAATTCTTACCGATGTCCTCTTTATTTGATCTTCGCTTCCACACTAATCAGTTGTCAACGCTCAGCCAGCCAAGATGGCTGGTTTTTTCCCGGTTGGATTTAGAAGGATTCCTCTGAACCTTCGGGGTGATTGCTGTCCCTCCAAGGTCCTTGAGATTCTGACGCAAGCACAAAGGCCAGCTGATCATTGTGCACGCATGAGCGACAGAAACCTGGAAGAGGAACAGGCGACGCTGCGCATGCCAGGCAACATGACTCCGTGTGCCACTTCAGGCATGCGTGCCATAGGTTCGCCATCACGGGGATATGGCAACCCTTTACATACCTTTTGCTGACATTAGGGCTGAATAGATGAAAGTTTTGATTTATTTATAGATAAGTGATGGGATATGGGATAAAGATGATAAGATAGAACAGTGGTCACTAACCGGTGGTCCGTGACAAAATTTTGGTGGTCTGCAGCGCACCTGGGTGGAAGAGCTGCTCCGGGATGAGCAATGGCCAGTCCTGTGACTAGAGCTCTGGAATATGGGACTGGCCAGGCAGCTCATGCTGGGGCTGTAAATAAATGTAGAGGGAAGTTCGTGCAACTTGCAACTTTGCAGCGCAGTCCTCGCTGGCCGGAATGAGGAAATGGTGCAAAGGGGGTGGCAGTGCAGGTGGCTGAAGAAACGGGTGGCGGGAGCCCCGGGCTGTTTTCTTCCCCTTGCTGTAGCTTCCTGTTGGCTGAACCTACCAGTGGCTATCCCCGCCCCTCGCCCTCCCTTCCCTCTCACTCTTCGCCTGGCAAGGGAAGGGTGGGGGATGGAGATTTGCTCCATATTCCAGAGCAGGAGCAAAGCTTCGTCTCTTGCAGGATCTTATGGCCGTTTCTTACGGCCCTTGTTGGTGCTCCACACACCTCGGTCTCTTGGGGAGATGCTTGACTTCCTCTCAGCCCCAAGACACTGGCTGGCCCATGAGATGAGAGAAAGAGAATGAGAGAGAGAATGAAGACAGAGAATGAGAGAGAGAATGTGAGAGTGGGAGAGAGAGAAAAAAGGGGAAAGAGAGATGAGACAGAGAAAGAGAGGGGGAGAAAGAGAGATAGAGAGAAAGGTTGGGGAGAGAGAGAGAAAGACAGAATGAAAAAGAGAGAGAGACAGAATGAGAGAGAGAGAGACAATGAAGTGGAATCAGAGAGAATCAGAACGAGACACAGAGAGAAAGAGGCAGAGAATGAAAGAGAAAGAGACAGAGACAGAACAAAAGAGAAAGAGAATGAGAGTGTCAGCTCTGGCATGCTCAGCTTGGAGCTGCCATTCGGGGAGGGGGAGAAAAGACCATCAGGGGCCGATCCCAGGGGAGGCAGCCTTGCTGCAAACAGCTGGACATTGTCAAGCCCCTTACAAGGCCTCCAGAACTGCCTCAGAATGTCTCCAGCAGCAAGCGAGCCTCAGAAGCACAACTTACAACTGTGAGACAACTCAGAGTGACTCAGCACTTCCGGGAGCACTGGGTGACAGGCAGGCACATGGGGGACGGGGTGTGGTGGCGGGAACTGTTTAAAGGTGGTGGGGAGCACCGGATGTTAGCTCTGTCAATCCTTTCTTTGCATTGTTTATTGCTTGGATGGTGAGTGCCGGAGAAGATAAACGCTTCAAACCTAAACATCATTTGGCTGGGAGTTTTTTTCTGCGGAACCTGACAATTTGACAGAGCTCTTGACCATGGCTGAAGATACAGTATTGGGGTTAGAGGTAGCTGATTTGGAGGATTCTGCAGTGGCAACTGAAGTCACTGTACTGGAAGCCATACCAGACCTGGCAGGGAAGGCATCCCTGGACATTAGACCCAAAGACCACTCCAGCGCAAGGGAGCTTCCGGTGGAGCATGGGGAGCCAGAGGCTGGACAAAGGCCACCAGGATCCAGTGGGGAATGGGGTCTGGGCCGCAGGGCCACTCTGCCGTCTGTTCCTCCACTCACCCCATCTGGGACCCATTTTGCCCAGTGACAGGAAAGGAGGATATCAGATAACGATTGGAGCTTCTCCACCAGAGTCGGCAGCCAGACCATAGACGTGCTGCAGGAGTTGTTTGGGGCGGTGGGTTTCGTGAGCCAGGACATGACAGTGGATGGTGGGACCTGGCTGCAACAGGCCACCCACCACACGGACCCCAACAGCCAGGAGGGGTGGCCGGTGGGTTTCGGGTTCCCAGCAGAGACCCCCAGGAGAAGCCCACAGGGACAGACCGCCGGCCATCCAGGCCGGGTGGTCACCAGACACCTCAGTTCCCTGGAGGTTAGCACGTACTGGGGGAGAGGTCACCAGGATATGAGAACTACCCCCCCTAGGCCACAGAGGTGTGTCCGTTGGCCATGGCCATGGAACATTGGGATCCACCACCAGTGCGGGCCACATTTGACGGCAGCCCAGGGAAAGTAGCCCTTTTACTGGGCCAGGTTGTAAACCACCTGGACCGTTACGGCCATTTATACACGTCCAATTGGGACATGATAATGGCGGTGGCAGCAGTAATGGATGAAGAGGCCGCTGATTGGGTGGTGGACCTCTACGTAGAACACGTTGCCAAACTAGGCGACATAGGTCTGTTCTTAGCAGCATTGCAAGAATGATTCGAGGACAGTACAAGGACCCAGGAAGCGGAGGATGAACTGCTTGCAGTTAAACAACGGGGGAGGCCTGTATGAGAATACATTAGGGAATTCTGGCGCCTAGCTGACAAGGGGTTGGCCAGAGCAGCTGATTGTGCATCACTTCAAGGTCGGCCTTGACTGTGCTCTATGCCGCACCTGTATGTGCTGAGGACTGCCCCCAAGATTGCCAGTATGGTTCCAGGCCGCAATGGAACTCGATGTGGAATTCCGGGAAGACAGACCAAAAAGAGAGTGGGGAGCCTGAGGACAAAGGCCATTGCCATCTCCAACCCGGACCACAGGCCTTGGGCCATGGGGGCCCCTACTATCAGCAATGGCCCCTCTCCCTGTGGCACCTGGACCTGGAAAGCCATCTTTGGTCAGGCCGCTGATCACGTTTCCAGTGTGGGCGGCAGGGTCACAGGGCGGCTGACTGCAATGACAACGCTCCAAAGGGGTCCAGTAGTTCATCCAGCACAAAGAAGGGAACAGCCAGGAAGAGCATCAAGGATGGGCCAGAGAAATCACAGAGGGCAAGCCAGGGAAGCACGCTCCATACCGCGTTTAGTAGCAGAGTTGACACCCCTGATGCCAGTGGACATGGAAAGAGACTCCGATCCAATGGTATGTAGACCGGTCAAACCATTTGTCATACCGGTGGTGGTAGAGGCAAGCAAACGACGGAACTGTACAGCCCTGATTGATTCAGGGTGTACTCGTTGTTTGGTGAATGCTACCATAGCCGCCAGTTTGGGGGTAGGCCTTAGGTCACTGGCAAAGCCAATATGCTTTGAGAAAATGAATGGGTCATTGTTGGGGAGTCGACCAGCCATGCATGTCACAGAAAGGGTGGTATTGGGCAACATCTAGGGACACTGAGGTTTATTGTGGTCCCGAGTATTACGGAGGAGATAGTACTTGGCCTAGCATGGTTAGATAAGTGGGGCCCAACAATATGGTGGGGGAGTGGCTCTCGCCATCTGCGGATAGGGATTGGCCCTGACCAGCCACCCCATGAGGGGAAACTCCAAGAACCGAGACCAGATAGGGAGGGGCGAAGTATCACACTACCCCATGTTAAAACAACGGATGATGGAGAATTCCTTAGAATATATGCAGACCTGAAACAGATATTTAGCAAATGAGAGTGTAACACCCTACCTCGTCACCGGTCCACGGATTACGCTATTGAGATCCTCCCCAGAGCTAAACTACCCAAGCCCAAATTGTATTCTATGACCCCACAGGAACTGACAGAGATGAGGGCATACATAGAAAAAAAATCTAAAAAGGGGATTCATTCAGTCAACGAGGTCCCGGGTGGCGGCACCCATCCTTTTCCACGAAAAGAAAGATGGAGGCCTACGCCTTTGTGTTGACTTCCTGGAAATTAACGCAGTCTATATAGAGCACTTATATCCTCTCCCGTTGATGAAGGATATGTTGGCCCAGTTGGCGGAGGGCCGTGTTTTCATAAAGTTAGATCTCAGGGAGGCGTATTATTGGATAAGGATATGGGCAGGGGACGAATGGAAAACAGCCTTTAATTGTCCCCTGGGAAGCTATCAGTTCAGAGTTATGTCCTTTGGCCTCCAGGGAGCTCCAGCTGTGTTCATGCAGCTCATCAATGAGGTGTTGCATGAACATTTATACAAAGGGGTGTTCGTCTACCTAGACAATATCTTAATATATACCAGGACCATGGAGGAACATGTCGCCCTAGTGTGTCAGGTCCTGAAAAATCTACTAGCGGCACAATTATACGTAAAATTATTGAAATGTGAGTACCACCGGTCACGGCTGGATTACCTTGTGTTCCGTATCTCACCTAACGGTGTTGAAATGGATCCTGCGAAGGTAAAGGTGATGTTGGACTGGCAAGCCCCCAAAACTCGCAAACAGCTAGTTTTTTGAGGTTCTCTAATTTCTATCGCCAGTTCATCCTATCCTTTGCCCAAGTGGCTCTCCCACTGACTGATCTCTTGAAAACAAAACATCTCAAAAAGTCCCTACACCCTGGTTGTCAGGTGGTATGGACGATTGAGTGTCAGCAGGCGTTTGAGCAATTGAAAGCCCTGTTTGCAAACGAGCCAGTGCTTAAACACCCAGAAACAGACAAGCCGTTTGTAGTCCAGGTCAACGCTAGTGACATGGCAGTGGCCGCTCTTCTACAGACGAACAATGACAGGGTCCTCCAGCCGTGTGCTTATACCTCCAGAAAATTGACTGAGACTGAATGTAATTGGTCAATATAGGGAAAGGAAGCATTCGCAGTCCGGTGGGCCTTGTTAAATGTGGCAATTATTAGAAGGGGGAGGGTTGGCCTTTGAGGTCTGGACAGACCATAAGAACCTGGAAGCCCTCCAATCCCCACAGTGACTATCGCCGAAACAGTTGAGGTGGGCGTTATATTTTAGGAGATTCAACTTTACGCTGAAGTACATCCCGGGGGAAAAGAACTTCCCCGCGGACACCTTCTCTCGTAAACCACAATATGACAGAAAGAGGGAGGTCTCCATACAAGCTATAATCCCAAAACCACCCACTAAAGTGTTAGCTACCCAACATACGTCATCCACAACCCGTGCATGAGCCCAAATTGTGGACATACCCAGGGCCATCCAGGCAGCCCTACAAGCAGATCAATGGTACCAGGAGAATCGCTTGTTATTGACTCAGAGAGATGGTCTTGCCTGGAAGGGAGCCAAAATATATGTACCCAGTGCTGTCCATTTGCTAGTGTTACGTCGATGTCACGATGTCCGCTTAGCTGGGCATTTTGGGTTCCTCAAAACATTGCATTTAACCAATCGCCAATTCTGGTGGCCCCATATGAAGGACATAAAGGAGTACGTAGGCAGCTGTGTCATATGTACGGCCATGAAAGCCAGGCCAGGGCGCCCTCCCGGACTGTTACAACCTGTGGCTATATGCCCATGGGACTCTATATGCCCATGGGAACAGATAGCAATGGACTTCATTGTGGACCTACCGGACAGCCAGGGTAAGAAAGTGATATGGACGGTTGTAGACCTGTTTTCTAAACAGGCTCATTTTGTAGCATGTACCGGCCTCCCGTCTGCTAAACAATTGGCCAAACTGTTTATCATCCACATCTATCGGCTCCATGGTGTACCCAAACGGATAATATCAGACCGGGGGGTGCAGTTTAC